GAACTTACTCTGTAGACCAGGCTTGTCTCAAACTCAAGAGTTCTGCCTGCCTCTGCCTCCAGAGTGCTGGGTTTAAAGGCGTGAGCCCTTACCATCTGACTAGATTTGCTTTTTTAAATAATGAATGCTTCATAAAGTTGCCTGCCATCTTTTTACAGGGACCATGATAATCTCTGTTTGATTACAGTATTTTAGTGTGTGATGCCAAAACAAGCTCCTGTTTAGAATTTGTGTGAGTGTGAGAGTGTGTGTGCGTGCGCGTGTGAGTGTGAGAGTGTGTGCGTGCGTGTGTGTGTGCGTGTGTGAGTGTGAGAGTGTGTGTGCGTGTGTGTGAGTGTGAGAGTGTGTGCGTGTGTGAGTGTGAGAGTGTGCGTGCGTGTGTGAGTGTGAGTGTGAGAGTGTGTGTGCGTGTGTGAGTGTGAGAGTGTGCGTGCGTGCGTGAGTGTGAGAGTGTGTGTGAGTGTGAGCGTGAGCGTGAGAGTGTGTGCGTGCGTGTGTGTGTGAGAGTGTGAAAGTGTGTGTGCGTGCGTGTGTGTGTGTGAGTGTGAGTGTGTGTGTGCGTGCGTGTGTGTGAGAGTGTGCGTGCGTGTGTGTGTGTGTGAGTGTGAGAGTGTGTGTGCGTGCGTGTGTGTGTGTGTGTTTATCCCTGACCTGGAACTGTCAAAGTGACCCTCCGTCAACCTCAGGAGCTCTTCCTTCTTGTTTCCCCAGTGTTGGGTCACAAGCTTGTTCAGCCACAGTGGGCTTCAAACTCAGTCCAGACTGAGTCATCACCCAAACCTCCATTTAGAGTTTTCCTAAAGTATTTTTACTGCTCTAGAAGTAATATTTCAGTGCTGTGTCCTGAACATTGTGAGTTGGAAGAAGTGTGGAAGGTCACCCTTGGCCACAGGACTTGGCAGCCCCTGGCCCACACAGTCTGCTCCACACCTCAGTGACTTCTCCCTGCACCAACAGGCGCATGTGCAGAGAGTGTTGCTGGCGCTCACCGTGCTGTCGGTCCCCGTGCTCTTCTTAGGAAAGCCACTCTTCCTGCTGTGGCTGCACAATGGGCGCAGTTGCTTTGGCGTGAGCCGGGTGAGTGTGATCCCCGAGTCCAGAGGTCCTGATTCCTCCAAAGCTGGCTGTGTTTAGAGCCTTGATGTTGCTATTGGGCTGCAGCTCGGGGAATAAGACTGCTGTCCGAGCAATCACAGGCATCTCCTCAGGTCTCCCCGTGGACTCTCCTGGGTGTATTACAGCAGTGGAGGTGCCAGGTCACAAGATAGTTCTGCATTTGTGTTTGTCAGGACCTCAATGCTTTTAGCAGCTGGACCATCTTAAACTCCCAGCAGGAGTGTTCGAGGGTTCTAGTTTCTTGATCCTCGCCCACACTTGTATTTTCCACTCCCCTCCATTGCTCTTTGACAGTCTTTTTAGACTGCACACAAGGTGTGCATCTCCCTGGAGACAATTTTCTTACTCCCTGAGAGCTGAGTCCTAACAGAAGTGGTTTCTTGGGTTTTGTCCCAGCCTTGTGGCATTCCAGGCACTGACAATGCTCTTTCCCGGTTAGAGCGGTTACACACTTGTAAGGAAGGACAGTGAGGAAGAGGTTTCTTTGCTGGGCAGCCAGGACATGGAAGAGGGGAGCAACCGCATGGAAGAAGGCTGCCGGGAAGTGACGTGTGAGGAGGTGAGCTGTGAGCTGAGGGTCGGGTGGGTGAGAGAAGAAGCTATTTATTGGCTGCTCAATGTGGACTGAGTTCCCTGTGCTCGGTTGGTCATTATATGGCCGTTTGAATTCAGGCCAAATAATAGCATCACAAGTTCATAGAGCCAAGGGAGTGAGGAAGAGCCAGGGTGCTCTTCCTGGGGACAGCACCCTCTACCCTCTCTCCCTGGTCTCAAGCATGAGGCTCCACTGTGCACCTGTAGCTGGGAAATGTCCATGTGGATGCTGGGTAGTTTCTGAGGTTAGCTCAGATGTCATTGAGGTCTCTAACCATGGGGCCCTTATGGCAATCACAGTTCGAGGCTGGTGTTTGGGTCAGAGGGAGGAAACTGAAGCTTGAATAGAGTCGGGGAGCTAGTGTGGGGACATGGGTTGGTGAGCCCCATAGTCCCACTGAGAGCAGGACTCACATCTTGGACCTGCTGTTTTTAGCTGCCAGCATGCTGTCCCTGAGGCCATCTAGGGACCCAGAGTGGAGCAGGTTTGTGATATGGTGTCTAATGTTCTCCCTCAGTTTAACTTTGGGGAGATCCTGATGACGCAGACCATCCACTCCATCGAGTACTGCCTGGGCTGCATCTCCAACACCGCGTCCTACCTGAGGCTTTGGGCCCTCAGCCTGGCACATGCACGTATGTTGCTTAGTCCTGAGGAGTGTGTAAGCTCTCCAGGTGGTGGTGGACAAGGGTATTCATTGTTTGGACCCACCTTCCTATCACGCAGGTCATAGTCCAGGCCTAGCCATGGAGGGGCTCTGGGAAATGAGAGCCTGGTGACCTCTGGCATGGATGCTGTCCTCTGTCTCATGTTCCTGAGTGTCCTTGCCATTGCTTTGCTTACTGAGTGGAGTATTTAGTTCAGACTCCTGGAAGTCAGTCCTTATGGTCACGGTTCTGCTCATGCACAGCTGAGCCCCCAGCGTGGCTCACCCTCCACACTCTTAACTGTGAGCCTGCATGTAAGACACACCTGTGTGGGTGCTCTTTAGTCTGTAGGTTGTCTTACCCTGTGCATTGTCATGAGAGGCCAGAGAGCCTAGAGGTGACTGGTCATTGACTGCATTCACCTCACAAACATCGAATCATGTAATGGTGTTGCCTTGATATTCCGTGACAAAACCCTGGGACATGTGAGAGAGATGGGTAAATCACAAGAGAGTATTGACCAACAGGGGACAGAGCAAGGCCCTCTGTGTCCCAAGACAGTGAAGGTGAAGAGGCTGCCTTGTTGGCATTGGACCCAGACTTGGAACAGGTCCCCTTGCTAGGTTCAGACAGAACTCTCAATGCGGTCCAGGCTCTGAGCTTGCTGAGTTAGGCAGTTGGAGGGCACAGTGGAGCCTCCTAAGATTGTTGTTCTTTCCAGAGTTTCGGGTCCTCTGCTTGTGGGGGTAGGCTGACTGGTTGCCATTCCTGCTGTCACGTGGGTGGTGAGAGGGCTTATGTTTTCACAGCCTGAACTCTGCCGAATGGCTTCCTTTGCAGAGCTGTCTGACGTACTGTGGGCCATGCTGATGCGTGTGGGCCTGCGAGTGGACACCACCTACGGGGTCTTCCTGCTGCTACCTGTCATGGCTTTCTTTGCAGTTTTGACTATTTTTATCCTTTTGATCATGGAAGGACTTTCTGCGTTTCTCCATGCCATACGCCTTCACTGGTGAGTGTGACATGTGTCCTCAGAACAGTGTTTTATTTATTTATTTAAAGTGAGGACTAGAGAGACGGCTCAGTGGTTAAGAATGTGAACTGCACTTTCAGAGGATCCAAGTTCAGTTCCCAGCACCTGTATCAGGTGGCTCATAGCCTCCTATTGCTTCAGCTTTAGGGCAGCCAGTGGGTACCTCTGGTCCTTGCAGGTACCTGCGCTCGTGTGCGCATACTCAAGACACGTAATGCTATATAAAAATATAATAAATCTTTTGAGACGGGTGCAGGAGCTGGCAAGAAGGCTCAGTGGGAACAATACTCACTACCAAGTCCATGTCAGTCACCATGGCCCGCATGGTAGAGGGAGAGAGCCGATGCCCAGCAACTGTCTCCTGACAGTCACGTGTGTGCTGTGCGTAAGTGCACCCACCCACATGTACACATGCGCAAATACTAATAACCAATAAAAACCAAAGAGCCACCAACTAAGGAAAAAAAAACCTTTCTAAATGTAATGCTTATAATAAAAAAAATGGCTAGCTCCAACCTACCCAGCTATGATTTAGCAGTTCAGAAACAAAATACAGTCTTCTCACAAGTAAAAGAAAGCTGCTGTCTGTGAAACAATTGTGTATATTCCCCCCCTTTTTTTTGGTCTTTTTTTTTTTTTTGAGACAGGGTCTTGCTATGTAGACCAAGCTGGTCTCAAACTCACAGAGGTCTCCCTGCTTCTGCCTCCCGAGTGCTGGGATTACAGACAGGTGCCACCATGCCTGGCTTGTGTGTGTTCCTACTTTTATCCACATTGGGAATGGCAGGTGTACCTTCCTTGTTGTTGTGAGGTCAGAGGTCAACTTGCAGGTGTTGGTTGTCTCTTTATCATGTGACTCCTGGGCATTGAACTCCGGTTGTTAGGCTTGGTGTCACATGCCTGCACCCCTGGGCCACCTCAGCAATCTCCAGTGCGTTCTTAGTGCTTCTCAATATGTGTCTGGCTGCTGCTCTGTGGTTCCGTAGCCAGTGTGACAGAGGAATCCCAGTGCCTCTTCCTCTGTGTGTGTGACAGACTTTCTGACACGTACAGGGGTGTGGGGGGACCGGGGTGTTGAGGTGGCACGTGGGTGAGACAGACAGAGGTAGGAGCCAGGTGGGGGGGCAGTGTAGACTAGGGAGAGAATGATCAGGTGAGCATGTTCATGCTAAGAATGCAAAGACATGGCAAGATTTTAGCCCAGGAACTTTTAAACAAAGAAATGTAAGAGCATTACTTCACTCACAGTTCCAGGGTGCAGTCCATGGTGGGGAAGGCATGGTGTTTTAATACATATTCATTTCTCTTTTCGTAGGGTTGAATTTCAGAACAAATTCTACGTTGGTGCAGGCACCAAATTTGTTCCTTTCTCCTTCAGTCTGCTCTCCTCCAAGTTCAGTCATGACGACAACATAGCATGATCCACATTGCTGCAGCCATCCTGCTCTCAGATTTATGGAGAACTATCATGTTACAGAATTAACTCAAGTCAGATTTCTGACAGGAAAATTCCACCCTTGTTGATTGCCTTATGATTCAGCCAAATGATTCTGTAAGATACACCTCTCCTCATGTTGAAGATTTTGTAAAGCTCATCACTTCGGACACAGAGATTTCGTTGGTTTTTATTATGAGCAAATATAAATCATGCCAACGTTACATTAAAGTTATTTTTTAAAGTGTAAAATTGGAGGAGAAAAGCCAGCTGGATGGCTAGCTAAAAATGTTTTTAGATACTTGACTCCCTTTCAACTTAAAAATTATTCTATCACGAGAAGATGCCAGATAATATTTTCCAACAGCTCAAGCTAGATGTAGTTTTTTTTTTTTCATCAGTAGATCCCTGCTCACCCTGCTGGCTCAGGAATGTGTGCGCACACGTTCTCTGGGAATGCTGTCAATCACCAGGAGGGGCAGCGCCACAGCCCAATCTTGTTTTAATAATTGGAGGAAATGATGGGACAATATAACACAACAGATGGCTCTCCTGCTTGTATATTTTTACAAGATTCTTGTCCTGATATCCTTATGTCAGAGCAGTCATGACAGCTGTACATTTGGAAAGACGACTATGTGATGGTCCTGAGCCTTAAAGCGCGGTGCACCTGCAGGGAAGACGGGTGGAAGCAGTGTGTATTTTTATAGCGAAGAACAAATGAAGATATTTTACCACAGAGACCTTGCTTCTACTTGGGAACAGTATAATTTTTTACTTTCACACTAATTCTAAATAAAGGTCTGATGGCCACAGTTTAATTTCTAAAAACTGTTCAGAACTGTTGAAACTGTTGAAAACTAATTCTCATTAATCTGTTAATTTATTATCACGAGTGTAGAAATCACCTATTGTTGTGTTAGCTTCGCATGAAGTTGACTTAGTCCCATTGAACACATTGATCTATGTCATATTCTTATAAATTGTGTTCATTTTCACATTTTACATTAAGTGATTTTAGATTAAGTATTTAAGAAAGAAACCCGAGGCTGTGGTGTTGCTTGGTCACTAGACCCTCAGAACCACTTCTCCAGGTGTGGTGACATCTGCCTTGAATTTCTAGCACTCAGAAGGTGGAGGCAGGGGATCACAAGTTCAGGGCTACCCTTGGCTATGTGGCAAGTTTGGGGCCAGCCTGAGCAATGTGACACCCTAAAGAGAAAAAGGAATCTAGCATATTTCTGCCCTCTCGTACTTTTGAGTCTCATGCTACTGCAGAGGCCTGTTGGTCCCCTGCCCCTCCACTCTGTGCGGTAGAGTGGAGCTCCTTGATCAAAAGCCAAGCCTCTGGCAGTCGGAGCAGCTTTCCAGGTCCTTTAGGGCCTGTTTCCTGAGACGGGTGAGCAGCCTGTGCCTGCTGGGCTGTAAGTCACTCCTCTCTAGCTGCAGCAGCGTCTGCACTGGTGGACAATGAGTCCAGTGTTTGTGCCCCGTGTGCCAGCTTCCTGGCAGCTCTGATGCCAACCCTACTGGCCGCTGGGGATGAGGTGGTACTGCCCAGTGGTAGACCTGTCTTATCTGTGTCCAGTGCCATCCCCACGTTGTCACTGTCGATACTCTTCCCCCAGGGGCCTTGGTCCTCAGAGATAACTGATCCCAGGGCCACAGACCAGACAGGAAGTGCAGTTTTGGCCATGTTCACTGGCCATGTTGGCAATTATTATGGAGCTACTTTTACTTTCTAACTAACACCTCTTAGCAGGGTACAGATGGAAGAATGAGGGCCAGTTCTCAGCTGAAGTCTGTCACAGCTATATGGAATGTAATCACATAAACATAAATCACTCCTTTTGTGGACCCTCTGGAAATATAATTGATAGCATCACACAGAGGGAAGCAAGCACCTGTCTGGGTGGTGCCATGTTCATCTTCCTAGAACAGCAACAGAGCCATGTGGTCCGTTCAGGTGTTCACCACGTCACAGACCTCTGTTGGTGGGATATGCATGCAGGGTTTGAGCTCTTGCACTCTCCCTCCACCACGAGACCCGGGACAGACTCCCCCCCCACCCCGCCCCCCAGACCCTTTCCTGGCTTCAGTTCTAGAATGGGTCCGTATGCTTCGAGATATTTAATGCCACCCATGCAGGTCTTGGACCTGTAATCCTCTTGCCTCAACTCAGCTGGCACTGTGGGTGTGCAATGCTGGCTTGGCCCAGAGTTCGTATAACGACATTCAGGCCCAGGGTTCCATCAGCAGTTGTGTAATAGGCATAGACTCTCCATTGGTGACTTAACGGGGCTGGCAAATCAAGCTGTGATTTAGAGTGTGACCCATTATAGGAAATAAAAACAGCTTCAGCAGGCCCCCCCCCCCCCAGGGACATTTCTCTATCGAAGTTTTTACTCTGGGTTTGCTCGCATGCCATACCCTCCAGGCAGACCTTAAGAACTCTGCCATGATGCTGTGAGTAGGGAGTTTTCAGTAATGCCTTTCCCACCTGTGGACTGATGCTGTGGGGCTCTGCTTGAGCACCTCAAGAAATCCTCAGGAAGTGCTACTCTGCAGAATGATGTAACAAGAATGGGTCCCAGAGCCAGGACCTGGGGCAGAAACTAGGAGTCGGTCAGGGCTGCACTGCGCAGATGCATGGAAGGACTAATCTGCCTGTCAGTACTGAACTTACTTTTGCTAGTGACAAATAAATCTATATTTTTGAGATGCCAGTGTCTTGTTTTCTTGTGATCCTGCTTCCTAACCCCCATGCCATAAAGAGTCAGTCCCTTTCTTGGAGCCGCAGCTATTCTGTGTCTAATCGCCGAGACCTGCCTTGCCTGCCTGTCCTGCTGGTTTGCTTCTGTTGCTGTGATAAAACACCAGCCAAAAGTAACTTGGGGAGGAAAGGGTTCGTGTGATCTAGGTTTCACTCAAGGGCAGAAGCACGCAGCAGGAACTGAAGTAGAGACCTTGGAAGAACACTGCTGGTTTGCTCCCCATGGCTTGCTCAGCTGTCAGCCCAGCGCCCCGCTCCCCTCCCCCAGCCTATGCCTGCGGTGGAGATTGTACCGCCCCCAGTGGGCAGGGCCCTTCTACATAAATCAGCAACCAAGAAAAGGCTCCTTAGGCCCATCTGATGGCGATAATGCCTCAGTTGTGATTCCGTTTTCCCGACTAAAATAGGTTTGCGTCAAGTTTACTTACAGAAGCTAACCAGTACACTGCTTCTAGTTCTGCCTGGCTCCGCCTCAGAGTCGTGTCCTTGTCACGTCTCAGCAGCCAACTTTGTTGAGCTTCAGCTTTTCCACCTGCAGAATGGGGCCCTCAGCCCCGCGCCGACGCCGTTGCCCAGGTGCCCGTTGCTAGGTGCACCGTTGCCACGGACGCCGCCCGGCTCTCCGCCCTGTCTGCCCGGTGTCCTGCACTGCTCAGGTCTACACCATGGACGACCTGCGGGTCCTGTGGATGCGCGACCGCGTGTACACTGCTTTCAACCTCAGCAACCCCAAGCTGTTCGAGGAGCTGCTGAACCGCAACGACAGCGAGGCGGAGGACCTCATCCTGCATTTCCTCAACTACGCAAGCGACGAGGATGGCGCCTCTACACTGTTCTTCTACCGCGTCTTGCAGCCCGAGGAGGTGGAGGTGGAGATTGGTGAGCCTGAGCAAAAGCCAGCCTCCAGTTAGCACCCTGCTGGCACTTAGCCCTACTGTGTGCTCGGGGCGTAGCTGCTGCTTTCATCTGTCCTCTGAAGGGCGCTTCCATCCTCGCTGTCAACGGCGGCGCAGGACTGCGCACTTGCCCGAGACGTGGAGGAGGCCCAGAGTCTCTTGTTCTATAAGATGCCTCCCAGCCGGAGGGGTCCCAAGGCGAGAGTCTGCAGAGGCCCAGGGGAGCTCGCCTTCCATGCCCTAGGCCCCTACTCTAAAAAGTGGTAGCAGGCCAAAGTGGTGCCCGACTGCAATCCCAGCTGAGGTAGGATCACCTGAGGACCAGAGCAAGTTCGAGAACCATTTGAACTCCACAGAGGGGCAGGGAGGGGAGGGAGAAGGATAGAGAGGGAGCTACACAGTGTTAGGATACACTATGCCTGCTCTCATGGACTTTGCTTTGCTTTCATTACTTATTACATTGTGAGACAGAGTCTCATAGCCCAGGCTGGCCTGGAATTGACTGTGTAGCTCAAGGTACCCTCAAACTCTCAATCCTCCTGCCTCAGCCTTACTGTAATCTAACCATCCCAGCCTTCATTTTTCTTCTTAAGGTGGAACTTTGAACCTGAACCCATTATCCTGGGCCTCTGGGCTAGGCCCTTTTATTACAACCAAATAAAAGTACGAATTTCAGGATACGCTAACAGGATTCTGTATACATTTAAAAAACAAGCATGAGACCTGCACCAAGACCCTAATGCCTTGCAGTCCCCGGGAGCTCTAGCTAGTAGCAGACAGTTGTCCCCTGCTGTGTCACCACCTGCTGGAGTGCCTTCACTCTGCCAGGGCTTTGGTCTCCCTTCAGAGCACCCCTTGGGTCATTTCTGGCACTTATTTTGTTTTCTGAGCTAGGGTATTGTGTAGACCAGGCCTCCTCCACCTCCTGAGTCCAGGGACTTTACCAGCTCACTGGAACAGTTTCCAGGCTACCCTCAGAGTACCAGGCCCCTCTGGTGCTCACTGGTTGGCTGCGTTTCTTCCATAGGAAGGTGTGTCCTTCACCTTCCAATTCGCACAAATCTCCCTTGCTGGCCCCAGCACCATGATGTTTTGCAGGACATTTACAAGTCCCCCGGGGGGGGGGTGTCCCTACCCTTTGACTCCACTTGAAGCAAAGGTGCTTCATCTCATACAGTTTTGTGTTTTCTTCCCCATTATGGTTCCATACAGAAGAAACCCCTGTGGTCCCTGAAGAGGAGGCGGAGGAAGATGAATCTGAATCTCAAAAACCAGAGGGTACCGATAAAGTGGCAGGTGACTGTCTGGAGGGACAGAGGCCACTTCTACATGGGGAGCTGTGGCGCTGGCGGTGGACACGTGCATAAGGATCCCCGGACTAGCATCACATGGCCTTAATAGGACAGCAGAAAACAACAGAAATATCTTTCCTCAGGTCCAGAGGCCCAAGGTGTCCCCAGGGCCATACTCCCCCTGAAAGCACCAGGGAGCTCTCCTGCCTCCCTCCCTCCCTTCCTTCCTTCCTCGCTCTCCTCCTCAGCTGCTGCTGACACTGGCACCGCTTGGCTTATGGGCACCCCAGTGTCACCCCTCCTGCTCTGCCATCACATGGACCCATACTGTCACTTCCCGTACCCAGGCAAAGACTGAGGCAGAGTGTGTGTATTTGTGTGAGTGTGAGTGTGTAAGTGTGTGTGTGTTTATACGCGTGTATGTGGTGGTCAAATTAAGGAACAACAGATAGGGGTCCTTTTCTTTCTTTCTTTTTAAACACAGGGACTCAATAGTGAGTTCGAGGATAGCCTGGGCTACATGAGACTGTCTTAAAAAGCAAAGGAACAGCCAGGTGGTGGTGGCGCACGCCTTTAATCCCAGCACTCGGGAGGCAGAGGCAGGAGGATCGCTGTGAGTTTGAGGCCAGGCTGGACCGACAGCCTCCATAAAAACCAAAAAAGAAAAAGAAAAAAAAAAAGGAAAAAAAAGAAAAGAAAAAAAAAGCAAAGGAACAAAACCCATAGTATAAAACTCAGTGTTAACAGTTTCTTTATTGGTGTGTGTATGCACACACATGCACCTACATTCACCCACACAGGTGATCGTGCTGTAGGTGTGTGCATATAAAGCTGTGTGTGCTCACATGCATACGTGGAGGCCACAGGACACCCTTAGGTGCCGTCTCCTCTGGAGCTGTCTGCCTTGTTCTTGGAGACAAAGTCTCTTACTGGCCTGGAGTTCACCTAATACACTAGGCTCTCTGGCCAGTGAGCCCCAGTGTAATGCAGAAATATTAAACTACACAAAATAGGGATGTCCTATGATATTTTATTGAAAGACAAATCATTTACCTGAAAAGCTAAGAAAGTCAGGAACCAAAGGGCCGCACGCTGCTCTCCATGTTGAAACCAAAACCCAAAGAGCGAGTCTCCTCCCCCAGCTCTATTTATCCCCTGTACGGTCTATGTACCCGTGAACACACCCACACGGGAGTGGTCAGGGATACGTAAAATCTCTCCCTACACCAGCGGTCTTCCTGTTTCAGCCCCCTCAGTGCTGTGACCCCACACCTGCCTTTCTACAGAGTGCTGGGTTTGAACTTGGGTCTTCAGTCTTACATTGTAAACACTTTACCTGTGGAACCATCCATCATCTGAACCCTAGCCCAACTTCAACTATTTCCAGTGACATTAAGCATACCCTGAGTGTGGTCTTGCCTGCTTGTATGTATGTGTACCATGTGTATGCAATACCCATGAAGCTCAGAAGAGGACATCTGAACACATGGAACTGGAGTTGCAGATGCTTGTGAGCTGCTGTGTGGTGCTGGAAACAGAACTCAGGTCCCTTGGAAGAACAGCCAGTGCTCTTAACCTCTAAGCCATCTTTTCAGCTATCATCTCAATATTTTTTGAGACAGCGTCTCCTAGAGTCCAGGCTGGCCTTGAACTCTGTAGCCAAAGATGACCTTGGACTCCTGCTTCTCCTGTCTCCACCTCTGGAGTACTGGGTGACAGGTGTCACCCAGTCACATCTCACTGTTCATTTTGCCAAGTGTGCTGAGGGCCTTGCACACACTAGACCAGTGTCAACTGCTGAGTTACACCCATAGCCTAGTGACTCTTATTCATAAACCTCTTGTAAGGTTAACACACACACACACACACACACATATACACACACCAACTCAGAGAAATCACATGCTGGACATCACAGCCAACATGAATACCCGTGAGCCACAACAAGGATGGGGGTGTGGCCTGCTGTGACTGCTACACTCCTGTCCTTTGCATACTAAGGCATCTGCATGGCGGGAACTCTTGTTTCCGGTCATCCCGACCGATTGGATTGTGTTTTGCAGTCAAGCATTCGAAGCTGAGAAGTGACTCCACGGCCCCCTCCCTGTTCACCATGGATGATGATGACCTAGAGAAAGAGCAGTTAGACAGACTGCTTGGCAAGGTGCGTCCTGCTCTCTATCTATCCTTGTTGGCAGAGTGGCCCGGGGGCTCTCATAAAACAGGGTGACAAGCCGGGCGGTAGTGGCACACGCCTTTAATCCCAGCACTCGGGAGGCAGAGGCAGGCGGATCTCTGTGAGTTCGAGGCCGGGCTGGACCGACAGCCTCCAAAACAATACAGGCAAACCCTATCTCGAAAAACAAAACCAAAACCAAACCAAAACAAAACAAAAAACAGGGTGACAGGCACTGAACATGCAAGGGACACAGTGTGTTAGAGTGGGGACTCCAGAATCTTGTGTTGAGATTTCCCAGAACACCCTTAGATTCATTACCGACTGAGGGAAAAGCTGTCCCACCAGGAGTCACGTCTTACAGAGAAAGGAGGGAGCCATATATAGTGGCACACACATGATACACACACATGCATGCAGGCAAAACATTCATACACATGGAATGAATGAACCTTGAAAAACCCAAATCTTTGTTTATCTATTTAAGTTCTATTTCATTATGCTATGTGTATGAGCGTTTTGCCTACTTGTAGGACTGTGTACTACATGCATACCTGGTACCTTCAGAGGTCAGAAGAGGGGTCAGACATCTTGGAACTGGACTTGCAGATGTTTGCAAATCACCATGTGGGTTCTGGAAACTGCACCAGGGTCCTTTAGAAGAACAGCTAGAGCTCTTAACCACCGAACCATCTCTCCTGCCCCAAATAAACAATTTTTTAAAAACATGCACACACACACACACACACACACACATATACACACACCAAAAGAACAATTCCCACCAATGTCCCAGAAACAAGCAACCAACCCACTGGCCAGAGGTAGCTGGTTTCTCTCAATGGGCCCCGCCCCCGAAGCTCCCTGCCTACCTTTCCTAGGTGAGCTTCTCAGTCGTCCCTATAGAAGCCACCACAAGCCTAGTAGAAGCTGCGGACTCAGGGCTGGGGTCTGGATGTGAATTAGCTCTTCTGGGGCCACTGTATAACTCCTTATCAGGAATGAGACCCTCCATGCTAGAGATGAACACATCCTGCAGAGCAGTCACCTGCCAGCCCAACAGTATCCTGTCTGTTTCAGAGGTTTGAGAAGCGCATCGTCAACAGGCTGGATCTGCACGTGAGCTGCACCCCCATTCCAGAGGAGTTTCTGGAACAGAATGTGGTGTTCTTCCTCAGAAGCACAAAAGGTACCTT